CAAGTCAAGCTTCTAAGGGTCACAGACAGAAAAGGGCCTCTAATTTCCAAACGCTTAATGACAGGCACTTCTAGAAATTAGATAATATAAAGTCTTACCTGCTATTTCTTTTGTCAAAGAGCAAATAAGACTGCTGTTGATCAACTTTCAACAAGGTAGAAATGGAGGACAATCCTCCCAGAATAAGAATAAAATTTATTTGTTGAGTTTGGAGCAATGAGGATTATTTTTCTTTTTCAAATCTCCCCAAATGATGTTAATGGGTAGCCAAAACTGAGAAACATGGGTCTACCTAAGTTCTGAAACAAGCTAGCTAGGGCGGCTTAACTAGTGAGATAAGGGTAATATATTCAAAGGAGGTTTTGGCCTTTGCATTATGACTTTGAAATGATTATCTCTAGCAAAAGAACCAAACGCCACTCAGTGATCATTCACCCTGAAAATCTGGGACATGTATCCTACACAGATAAGGTTCTTTCAGTTCTAAAATCCTATAATCTCTACAACCATTAACCATCTAATAAGTATTGGGCCTACTATATACCAGGTACTGTGCTAGAGGATAGGAATTTAAAAAGAATAAGATCAAAGCTTAGTCCCTACCCTCAAGGAACTTAGAGTTTGGTAGGAATTCAAAGTAAAGAGGCACTTGCATACAGTGAGGTAAATGCTAGAAAGGGAAAAGTGCAAGGAGCTATGCTAGCAGTCAGGTGAGTTCTTAACCCCACCTGAGATATTCAGCAAAAGGTTTCCAAAGAAAACTGACCTGTAAACCAAGATCTCAAAGATGAAGGTTAGTGTGTAAAAGGTGGAAAGAGAAGTATTACAGAAGTAACTTCCAGTAGAGGTGCATGCTCTGTGCACGAGTGGGTCAAGTATTTGGGAGATGAGGTAGGAGCTGGGTCACCAGAGCTGCCTGATGGGACTAAAGGGCACTGATCTGATCAGAGCTGTTTCAGATGGATCACTTCTAAGAAATGTCACTGAGATGCAGTGGCACAGGAAGGGAAGGACAAAACTGAAGGCAGAAAGACCCCTGGGTAAGCGGGGGCACTGGTCACTGAGCTACACAAGAGCAGAGTTTTGCCAAAAGGGCAGGTGAGGAGAGGTCAACTGTAGACATGCTGGCTTTGCAGTAACTACAGGGCACCCAAGTGCAGATGCACACGAAGCAGCTGGAAACAGACATCTGAAGTGCAGGGAGGAGCTCTAGGCTACAGATAACAATCTGAAAGTTCTCAGCATATAGATGATAAATAAAGCCTTCGCTGCAGATAAGCCTGCCTCTGAAGAACACGTATAACAGAGGAAAAGGCTTACAGCGGAATCCTGAATAATAGCAACTTCTAAGTGGGGGCTGAGGAAGGAACTAGGAAAAGGTCTGGGGGGGGGGGATGTTAAAAGGATAGTGCCAGAGAGGCATTTCAAGGACAGGGAAAACAGAAAGGATAGTCACTGGACTTAGCCAAAGGGGTTATTGGTAACCTTGGGGGAATGGAGTTCAAATGTTGTAGCTGAGGAAGAAACTAGACTGCAATGGGTTCAAAGTGTATAGACAATTATTTCAAGAAGTTGGTTTGTAGTTTATAGAAGGGAGAAGAGTAAAAAGCAGCTAGAGGGTAGAGGAGACTAAAGGACTGAATATGCTAGACTTTATTTAAGTTTAATGAGATAGGCATGTATAATGTTAAGAAAAAATACACAAAGGTAGATTTAGGGGCACCCAGCTGGCTCAGTTGGTAAAGCATGTGACTCTTGATCTCAGGGTTGTGAGTTCCTGCCCCACAACGGGTGTAGAGATTACTCAAAAATAAAATCTTCAAAAAAAAAAAAAAAAGAAAAAAGAATTAAAAATCTAGGAAAGAGATCCAAGCAGGATTCACCATAGAATGGAAGAACAATACATTTTTCACTGTCACAGACACAGTTTATGGGGCTGATAGCGGGAAGTTAAGACTTCCAATTTGATAGCTTCTATTCCATCTATAAATTAAGAGGCCAAAATTCTTACTTAAGTGAAGGGAAAGTGAATGTAGGGCAATGACAAACATTTGAAACAGCTTTGGTGGCAAATCCCCAAGAGGGGTCACTCAAAAACAGAGAGACTGCCAGGCTGGAGTCAAGGGTCCAGGAAATGTTGGAAACCATGAAGGCAGACAGCTGTATCCATCTAGGCCTGTGGTTTTGCTAGGTAAGTAAAACAAAATGAAAATAGAGAATACTGGCCAAAGAGCGGTTAAGCAAAAGAACTGTGAAATCTAAACAAGGGAGGGAGGGAGCAAGACAGGAGGTTCACAGGAAGGGAGAGAGTGCAGAGTGGGCTGGTACAGTGGACTTCTCCATGACACTGAAGAAAAGATGCAGGGGGAGTCACTGAACAAGAGCACTGGAAGAGCGTTAAAGAGAAGATGTAATGCCCTGTCTTTAAATTTCCAGAAATGAAGCAGTTCCAGATGGACAAGACGGAGGGTGTATCCTTCGAACAGGCCATGCAAGTACCTTGCAATTCCAGTCAGGGAAGCTCACTTGCGAAGAACAAAGAATGGAGAGGTCAGGGCCTACTGAGGTGCTGGATCAATCATCCGCACAGCCGCTGGGGTCTCCTCCCATCTCTAATGACAATAAAGGTAGAAAGAAAGCCCACGAACCAGTGCCAATGTTAGGTGGTTTGGGGTTGGGTTTTTTTTTGTTTTTATTGTTTTTTAACAAGGGAGAGAAGCAAGGTAATCAATAAATGACAACACTAAGGGAAGAGGTTAGATGAGCCAGATTGCAAGAGCTTTTAAGGAGCAGGGAATTTCGCCCAAGGGTAAAAGATTAGATAGGAATACTGGAGAGGAGAGGGAGGACAGGATACCAACCTCCCTAAAGTAGCAGAACAAAAACCACCCGGGAGGAGGGGGATGTGATATCCTCAGAAAGAAACCGAATGTAGTTAAGAGGAAGGGGTAGAAATAACTCAGTGAAAAGGCTGAGGATGAGGAAGACTGTTTACTACGCAACAGGAAAAATGGGACAGTCTGTGAGGGGAGGGGCCACTGGAAGGTCAGGTCAGGAGGGAGAACACACAGTCGGGCCTGAGATCACAGGAGTATACAGATGGCCATCCTGGATGCTGACCAAGCAGTGCAGAGTTGAAAGAAATGATTGGTTTGGCTGCTGCGAGGTCTCTTTAAAAAGAAAAAAAGAAAAGAAAAGAAAAAAGAAAAGGAGAGAGTCCCAACAGTTTCTTAATGGAAAACTGGCAGGGTGAAGGACTTGGGCCTTTTTTTTTTTTTTTTAAATACACAAGATCTTTTTAATTAATTAATAAAACAAAAAAGATGAAAAACAGAAGCAACAAAATGAAGACCATACTGCTCATGATACATCAGCCACATGGTCAGAAAACCAATTTCTAAAGAGCGACAGCTGCTGGTGTCATGGAGTTTTATTGCATTCAACAGGGGAAAGGTAGACGGCTAGAATGAAAAAGATCAGCAGGCCCCTGATGGGAAGATATTATAAGGGCTCTAATCCTTAACTGTGGATTCCTCTTGTTACTTCCTTTGGAGAAGATGGAGGGGAGAGAGGAATTCTCCTTTATGACTGTATGACTTCTTGTGAGACAAATCAGTCCAGCTATATACAGTGCAAAGAATCCTTGCATCCCCA